CTAATTCAAGCATTTCAAAGATGAAAATACCAGCTGGTATTATTTTTTACTAGCATCCTACTCTCAAAGGTTTGTGACTAGAAGTGTACTGTAACTTGACCACGTGAGCTGATGTACCCAAAACCAATATCCTTAATTTTACCTCGATAGTGGTTGCAGATAATTAGTGGTTTTAGGTCGAATCATGACGTGGCAGTTCTGCATAAAGTGTCCGTTAGAGGTATCGACTTTGCCTGACTGAGGAAAGCTGCTGGAGTTGACAGCCTGCCAGCTGAGCTATACAAGTACGGCAGCGAGGAGCAGATAAGGTGCATGCATGAACTCTTATGTAGAATATGCTCAGATGAACGCATGCCCGACGATTGCAATTTAAGTATGCTGTGCCTAATCCACAATAAAAGGCGACCCGCCATCCGCGTCAACTACCGCGGGCAGTGATCGGACTTAAACAAAATTTGTGTGGTAGAATCTGGAAAAAAATGTGGTAGATTTCAAAAAAATGTGGTAGATCTCACGTTTTGGATCAAACTTTGTACAAAAATTTAAAAAATTCGGCAAGGTTTCACCTAAATTGCAAACATTTTAATTAGAATCTAAAAAAAAATTTAATTGTAGTATAATAGAATTCAAGATTGAAGTTCCTTGACAGTGTAAAGCAGTTCCTTCCATACCAAGATATTTTCCGAACATATTTTGAAAGATCTCTGCAACCTTGCGGAGTGCTGCCAGGTTTTCTTTTTATCACATACCCGATGTAGCGAACAATTGTGGCACGTTCCAGAAAGCGCTACTTCGGATTTTCCGATTTTGACAATTCTCAAGTAAAATTAAACAACGCTTAGAAACTTTAGATGCACTGAAATTTGCTAATATTTTCACAAAAATCGCCGTTTTTTAACAGCTTCGCTATTAATTCTTTTTATAAATCATATATTTTGCAACTTAACACAATAAAACCACGTTTCCTGTCGAAACATTGAGTATTGAGAAAGTTTACTATTTTACAGTTTATTTTATCCTCCTCTTAATATTAAGAAAATTATGTCGAGCAAAAATAAAACTACTCAAAAACGCAAATATGTGGTAGATGTCAGACCTTGTGTGGTAGATGTTCAAAAAAGTGGCAGATCTACCACAATGTGGTAGAAGTCCGATCACTGACCGCGGGATCAGCCTTCTAAACACAGGTTACAGGTCTTGTCCAGCGAATTGTGTGAAAGACTGAAGACCACCGTCAATGAACTCATTGGGCGTTATCAGTGTGGCTTTAGACTTGGAGAATCCACCATAGACCAGACCAGGTATTCACAATACGCCAAATCTTGGAAAAGACCCGCGAGAAAAAGATCGACACTCACCACCTATCTGTCGACTTCAAAGCCGTTTTCGATAGCACTAAAAGGAGTTGCCTATATGCCGCGATCTCTGAACTGACTCGGCTGCGTAAAATGACGTTGAGCAATACCACCAGCTCCGTCAGAGTTGGGAAAGACCTCTCCGAGCCGTTTGCTACCGAACGGGGTTTCAGACAGGGCGACCCTTGCATGTGATTTCTTTAATCTGATGTCAGAGAAGATAATAAGAGCTGCAGAGCTGCGGTCCAGTTCAGGAACATCTTTTTATTAGAGACTAGAATTCTTAACGTAAGCCGATGACATTGACATCATCGATAATAAGAACCGCGAAGTCTGTTCTGCCTTTTCCAAGTTGGATAAGGAAGCAAAGCGAATGGGTCTGGTGGTCAACGAGGACAAGACGAAGTATCTCCTGTCAACAAACAAACAGTCAGGGTATTCGCGTCTTGTAGAGCTGTAAAAGTAACGAAAATCTGGATACCCGTATGTATTCGTTACTAATGCAATCAACTCCTGTATCTTTCGTATCGTTGATTTACTCGTTACTTTTTATTCAAGTCTTGTACCTCACACGAATCATCGCTACGAATCTCCTAGCGTAAGGAAATGTCCATTCGTACATATGCATGCATGCACCTACATATACACGCAACACACTTTAGTATCGATACGAACAACAGTTTCGTTCCCGCACAATATGTTGTGTTGTATTGATTCACGTTAATGGTGCATATACGGAACATGCGAGTAACGAGATTATTATGTGAGTAACGATTCGGTACTTCGAGTCAGGGCTTGTATTCGTTACTCAGTATAATTTAGAGAAAGTGGAGAATTTCATTTACTTGGGAACCAGCATTAACACCGATAATAATGTCAGCATGGAAATTCAACGCAGAATCAGTCTTGCTAACAAGTGCTACTCTGGACTGAGACGGCAATTCAGGAGTAAAGTCCTCTTTCGACCTACGAAAACCACTCCTATAAGTCACTCATCATGCGGAAGATTTACGGGCCTTTTCGCGTTGGTTACGGCGAGTACCGCAGACGATGGAATGATGAGCTGTGTGAGCTTTACAACGCATAGACATAGTGCAGCGAATTAAAATACAGCGGCTCCGCTGGCTTGGCCATGTAGTTCGAATGGACTCCGACGCTCCAGCAAGTATTCAACTCGGAACCCGCTGGTGGTAGCAGAGGAATGGGGAGGCCCCCACTGTGATGGAAAGACCAAGTGGAGAAGGGCTTGGCTTCATTTGGCATTTCCAATTGGCGTCAGTTGGTCTAAACTCACACCACCACCTCTTCTCCATCCCCCGTTCACTCTCTCGCCAAACGAAACGTGGCCGGTTTTTTGAGCTTCTTACCTGGCAACCCTGAATACATAGAGGGGATGAAACCATACTCTGAGGAGAATCGTTTCTAGCTGTTTCCTTCACCTCCTCGACTCCCAACGAACTGTTTATATTTCTTCTACTCAACATAGTATGTGTTGTGCTTTCGATGAAGAGAATTATCAGCGGATCTAGCCCTTCAGCGACCATATCAGAGTAAATCGATTGTAAACTTGTAACTTACTTTGGCAAGTCCTTTTGACTTCAGATTAAGCGCTTGCTCTATACTCTCTAAAACCTCGTGCATAGCTGAATTAATCGATCAACAGTTGCGTAATCTGTAGACCGATAAGCCTCCCCTCCAGTACTACTGGAGTCAATCGCTACTTTTGGACCGCTACTGCACCGACTTCTAGGTAAGTAGCTACTCTATTAACGCATGGTAGTGCACATGGTAATGCAGAGTCGAAGCAATCGGAAGCACAATTGCGAAAAACTACGAAAGGGGGCACCCATAAATCAAGCAAGTAACTACTTTAGTAACCTTTGGTAGTGCAGAGAGAGTCGATGGTGACTATCGCTGAAATATGCGGCAAGTAGACGATCGGTAATCAACGTATTTTACTTGGTAGCTAACGATTCATCAGTCCTGTAGTCGGTCCACGTACCGCAGGGTCTTCATTGACACATACAACTTATTGTTTAAAACATTATTAAGATGTTAGATCTTTGATTAATTTAAAATTAATACGATTTGAGTCCCAGGCCACACTGACATTGCATTAAATGCATTAAACTGCATGGCTGATCAACTGGAGGGCCAGGACCACCTTGAGGTCATCACTCTTCACAGGGAGGGCAAAGCAGTGCCTTTGGCTGTGGACTGCTGCTATAAATATGCGCTTATAGTTCGCGAACGTTGGGCGAAAACGCTGGCATGCAAATATGGACCAGGTGTGGTCAAAGGAACTTCTAAATCTGAACCCACGCGGTACGACTTAATACAACTTCGCATTTCTATTGCCACAAATGAGTAGTAGATGACGATATTACCTTCTCATCTGCCCTGCATTGCGAGATTAAAATTAAACAATCTCGGCACGTATTCCACCCACACTCCCAAGAAGCTCCTTGGAATGGACATCGGCCCAACAAAGCTTAATTTTGGGCTTTTTCGAACCACTTTATGTGAATTATCTGCAGTTACCGTTCTAGAAAAAGTCTATTAAGTGGTAACAGAATGGATAACATAGGAAAAATCCCTCGCGGAGTTCGAATTTAGTGATGAGATAAAGAATAGTGTAGTCATAATCGGCGATTTAAGAATAAAATGAATACAAATGCTAGGTATAAGAGTATACCGACGGCTGAGTGTAAGATCGCTCTATCTCGGCAGCCCAAGCTTCGCGAATATGTATATTGATTTTTTATGTGTGTAAATTTGACTGTCGCACAGTGTTATAATATCAGAAATATTATCTACAAAATATTTACGTCATGCCATGTACTGTTTTCTAGCATATTCAATTCCATCTTATTCTTTCTTAAACTTCCTCTCTTTCGCAGGGTGGCATGTTCATACTACAACTCTTCGATTGGTATTCCGCTTCCGTTTCGGTAATACTCATTTGCGTGCTGGAAGTTGTGATGGTCGCCTGGATTTATGGGGTAGATAATTTCATCGACGATATTTACTTTATGATTGGAAAACGGCCAGGCATTGTGTGGAAATTCTGTTGGATGTATCTTACGCCGATTATATTAATTGTAAGCATAAATCGTGTGTTCCTCGTTTTACGTCGATACGTATATCATAACTGTTTCTCTTTAATCAATCAACAGGGCATGTTCTTCACCAGCATCATATTCAATCGAGACATAACCTATAACGGCATAATTTATCCACGTTGGGCCATATCACTTGGGTGGCTGAGCTGTTGCATCTCCATCGCCTGCATTCCTACATATATGATTTATGTGCTAATGCGTGGCAAAGGTTCGCTATTGGAGATTTTACGAAAGCAACTGCAAGCCAACGATTGGACACCAGCAAGTGAGGAGCATCGAATTGAATATGAGGAGTATCAGCGTACACGGAAATTGACGTGTGAATTGAATAATATGTATGAGAGTGGCAAGTGTGGCTAAAGTGCGGATGTGTAGATGTAAATATGTAGTTGATGTGCAGTATAGTAAAACATAAATGAGATTATTTTAAATAATATGCAAGCAAGTCCGTAAACAAAAAAATTAGGCAATTTTAAAGTACATACATACATATGTATCAATAAGTATTTTATAGAAAACAAAATAAAGTGTGAGCATTTATTCATAAAAAAAAACTATTTTAACATTTTCATAAATTTGTCTTTGGTTGATGCAAAGCTTTTACAAATGGGGTTTGTGGAAAAGCAATTTATCCACTAAACTTTCACTAAAGCTAATATTTACGAAGCTCTGCTAATAAATTTCTCATTTAACAAAATCACAATTTCCTTATACATTCATAATTATGTACATATATAGTTACACATATACATACCTACATATATACAGTAATTTAGTTATAACTTTTAGCCGTAGTATTTATGTTTATTTGACTCAATTGATGCGTAATATCCATATTACCCATGGCCTCTTCGTAACGTTGTCGTTCCTCCATTTCAACGGGATACCAATCCATTGGTCGACAGCAACGTCGAAAGCGCATCATAAATGAGCCCGATGTTTGCAGCAGCACATAGATCATGTAACCGGGTAAGTAGAGCCAAGGTAGAACGATGAGCAAAACCGCTACAATATGGATGACGATTGAGGCGACTCTGTGCTCGTAGTAGGCAGCAATAACCGCAATTAACTAAAATAAAATAAAATTTTGTTAGTTATGAGCGAGTTATGAGCGAGACTCTTTTTTTTTATTAAATAGTAGGTGAAACGACATTGTGAATAAATAACTAAATATTGTCCCTCACATACCAATAGTAAACAGAGGCAAATCGGCGCAACAAACCGCAATACATTCACTTTCCATGTGGCAAAACGTTGGCCCAGCATGAATTCGATATCACGCTGAAAGCGGAAACGGCCGTAAATCCAGAGAACGACCAGCAGCAGTAGAAGATTGAGTGATGTTTGCGTGAAGAGTGAGTCCATCGACATGGCGCTGAAGAAAACGACGCCGTGCTATGGTTTGGAAATAAAAGAGAGAAAGGAGTTTAGAACAGGATCGGAAAACAAACGGTAAATATCGAGATTTTTAATTTTAGATCTTGGCGAAATAGTTTTTTTTGATTTTTATTTGTTTTTTTAATGTTCAATAATTGTTTTTTTTTTCGGATCTCTATTTTTATTTATTTTTGATAACTTTTAACCGTTATAATACAGACTGCATCTTTCCATGATTCGATAATTATTCTGGATCAAAAAAATAAAAATTATAAAATAACGGTTAAATTTGATCAACAAAATATACTCTCATTTTAGCGCTAGAATTATGATTTTTATTATAAAGGTCATAACGATATTTTTCGATACATCGAAGAGCATGCATCGATTTTCATAGGATTTTCAGATAATATTTCCCAAAAAAATGTTATAAGAGAGATAACTACGTTTCTAATGTAACTTTTTGGAGCCATTTAAATTTTTTGCTGAAAATCACTTCTCTCTTTGCACAATTAAACAACTGAAATGAGGTTTCAATGTACTAGAGGTCAGTTTTCAAAAAACATCGTTGCATAGATACATCAACTATTTATGCATCGAGTGGAAAATTTTCGATGCATCGATGTTTTTCTGATGTTACCGTCGTAGCTATGAATGAGGTGGCAGAAACCCCAAATGATTGTATTGCAGATCTACTTCCACAGATCTAGCACAGCCTCGGCTGATCTTAAAGCGCAGTTACCCACGGACGTAAAAACGGAGAACGTGTCAGCTGACACGATCTATTTTATGAGATCTGCGTGTTAACAAAAACTCACCACCAAATGACCGTGACGTAGACGTTGCTTCTCTCTCTTTCTACCAACAGCATACTTGACATCCGTCTACGTACTTCTACGCTACGCTACGTACACGTTCGTGGGTAACCGCGCTCTTATGAGTCGCCTTTATAAAGTCGACTCCGATGTTTCGCTCGTCCACAAATCTTGGGTGAACAACTCAAGGGTCTGTGGCCTCGGCGCGGTAGGTTTCAAGCTTCAGGTGGAACGAAATGGAAGTAAATATAGAACCTGTGTAATGGCAAATTTGAATCTTTTTTCTTGTTTTTGTTACAGCTACAGCGATATTACGAGCACCATACTTGAGATAGGAGGCGTGTAGATCGAGCTGGAATTCGTTTACGTGCCACATGAGACAGAGGATCATCCGCAATCTCACCGAACATAGATATATTGGGACGAATCCAGACTTTTCTCTAATTTTACGGTAAGTACCGAAAGAACCTCAGGAAGACACTTTAGAAAGAAAGTTACCATATCCAGCACCACTGGTGAGTTGGATGGTATAGTAAGCTCTTTTATTCGGATTTGCTCAGAGGATTTAGCTAAGCCTAGTCCTGACCCTATGCTCGGTAATTGGACTCACTGCGGAAAGCGTGCAGGATGCCGTTCAACAAGGCAAGAAAGCTGAGTAGTGAAATTGGGGTGCAAAGAAGTAAGCAGTTTTTGTGTGCGTACAAGAACGCTTTGCGGAAAGCAGAGTGGTCTTCCTGGAGGGACTTCTGCAGTAGCGTTGAGACTTCCAGGTTGAGAAAATTTCAGTCGATATCCTTGAACACGATCAGGTTTCTGCAAGAGTAGGACGGTTCCTGTACAACAAGGGGAATGAAAAAATTAGAACTGCTCCTTAAGCTATTGACAGTCGACTACTTTCTAGCATGCCTATGTGGAGGGCAAGTTCACGGAGACCGCGCTGCACAGCCCGGTCTATTTCCTTGTAGCATTTCTAGAGGGAGCGTTTTAATAATACAGGAATTGAGGGTACGACCTACCGAAATTCTAGGCAAATTTCGACTATATAGCTTAAACCGATAATTGTCTCGAAGCTTATATTCTCTAAAGAGGGAGGATATATCTCACACAGTTGTTGCTTTAACTGTCCCTCTAGCTGTGGTATCACAACAGACCTTAAACTCTTGGCCTATGTGTGTCCCTACTTAGCAGTGACAGCCATATCTATGTACCTACCTACCGAGGCAGTGGTCTTTGACTTGACTCTGAGCAACAGTTTGGAAATAATTCCATGGAAGGTGTGAGTAGAGACGATCCTTAACCTGCACTTAATGTTAACCAGACATTGAGTAGCTGACCTCAAGAGGCAAAGTCGGATGCCTTCAACCATAGCTGTACCGTGACTAAGTCGAAGGATAAGTTCGAAATAGTTTGGTGGCTGTTCAATAAAGCAATGAGTACTTAGGTAAGAACATGGCTGATATAAGGCCTTACAATATTTAATATATCGAAATCGAATGTTGGAGAACTTTTCTTTTAAAATTTGAATGCAATTTTACATATTTACGTATCTCTTACGACTTACATTTGAACAAGTGTACAAGGATAGAAATGCTAACACACCGATCAGTCCAAAAGTGACTTCAGTTCTACGCGAACGCAACATTTCGAACTCATCGAATACGCTTTGGAATACCGAAAATAAGGAAGTGATCTATTAGAAGGAAAAATAAACGGTAATTTAATATAAATTTATTTTATGCACAGATATTTTTACCATTGTAATCAACGCCATCAATGCCAACATGGAAAAGAAAATTATTGACCAGAGATTCGGCCAACTCATCGAAGCCAAAACGCTGCCGCTGGACAAATACAATGCCCAGTGATGATTTACATAGACATACAAGTTATCTATATCATCGTAGTGTTCCGTAATGGCTGCAAAAATATATATTCCATCGATATTTATATTATATTTAAAATATGATTTTAATACGAGTACTTACACTTAAAGTAACCCTGTATGATATGCGTTAAAATGCCGTAGGCTATAAAAATGCCCATTTGGCCTATACAAATAATCCAACTGTAGCTCATAATATTTGCTTTAAAACGATTAAAGCTAGCAAGTGATATAATCGAGCCCCAGCCAGGACCAAACGCTGATACTATAAAGAGTATAGTGTTGGGTATGCCTTCGGCAAGATCACGTGGCTTTGCTATAAAAAAACTGAAGATATATTTTACATCCATCGATATCAACATGAAACGTATGACAGAGATGAGCAGCAAAGTTAGGCAGGTCCAAATGGTGTAGCGTAAAAATTTGCTCATCTGTGTGTGAAAAAAGGAAGAGAGAGAAACAAAGAGAATTTAAAGTGAATATTCTGAAAAATGTTTGCTAGTATTTTTATTTCCCGCCGTCAAAAAAATGCGTGTGCATTAGGGTGGTCCACAAATAGTAAAGTCGGAATTTAAATACTCTTACCCTCTATATCGAAAAAATATGCCCATATTTTTTATTTTGAAATCAAAAAATATTTAGAGGTCGCTCAAAGCGCTCAACGTTTTTCCATGCATTTTATATGGAAAAGAAAACCAATTTTTATTTTAAATCGTACAGAATTTTTGAAAATCAATATTTCTTATTGGAAAACTCTGTTCCTCTTCAGGAGACTTCCTATAAAATATAGTTACTATGAAAAGAATGTTTAAATAAATAATTGAGTATTAGTACTGGGAATCTTCTGAAGAGAAACCGAGTTTTCCGATCAAAAAACTTGACTTTCAAGAACTCCTTATTATTTCTACGAAAAGTGGCTTTTTTCCATATAAAAAACATGTACAACTTTGGCGCTTTGAGCGACCTCTAAATATTTTTTGATTTCAAAAATAAACAAGTAAAAAAGTCTAAGTTCGGGTGGAGCCGAACATTAAATACCCGGCGCAAGTATTAAATATATGTTTTTTCACCTTTCCGAAAGCTACCGCTAGATGGTAAGCCGGGGTGTATCAATTTTGAGTAAATTAGCGTCCTTAAATTTCGAAATATTGCAGTTTCAAGCATTTGTGAAATTTAACGTTATATGAAAAGCGGCCGTAATTTTAGCCCGATTTCAATAATTTTCAACGTTTCGCTTTTATGTGGCAAGCACAATAAAAATACCGAGTTTGGTACAAATTGGTAGAACGGTTACCGATATACATATATGTGATCATAAGCGGGCGGTGCCACGCCCATTTTCCAAAATTTTATCACAAACATATTTCTTGGTAAAAAATTGTTGCAAGCATCAATTTTGAATAAATTAGCTTTAATATTTACCGATTTATCGAGGTTTTGTATTTCTCTAAATTACCGTTATATGAGATGTGGGCGTGGTTATTGTCCGATTTTTAAAATTTTCGGCCATTTAGTATGCTGTACCAAGGCCAATAACTGCGCCAAGTTTGGAAGAAATTTATGCAGCGGTTACCAATATATACACATGTAACCATAAGTGGGCGTGGCTACGCCCATTTTCCAAAAATTTATAATATTATTATTTTTCGTCTAAAAATTGTTGTAAATGTCAATTTTGAGTGAATAATCTTTAGTAGCTACTAAAATATCGCAGTTTTCGTATTTCAGAAAATTACCGTTATATGGGATGTGGGCGTGGTTATTGTCCGATTTTTAAAATTTTCGGCCATTTAGTATGCTGTACCAAGGCCAACAACTATGCCAAGTTTGGAAGAAATTTATGCAGCGGTTACCAAGATATACACATGTAACCATAAGTGGGCGTGGCTACGCCCATTTTCCAAAAATGTATAAAATTCTTATTTTCCGGCTAAATATTGTTGTAAATATCAATTTTGAGTGAATAACCTTCAGTAGTTACTAAAATATCGCAGTTTTCGTATTTCCGAAAATTACCGTTATATGGGATGTGGGCGTGGTTATTGTCCGATTTTTAAAATTTTCGGCCATTTAGTATGCTGTAGCAAGGCCAACAACTGTGCCACGTGTGGAAGAAATTGGTGCAGCGGTTACCACGATATACACCTGTACCCATAAGTGGGCGTGGCTACGCCCATTTTCTAAAAATTTATAATATTCTTATTTTTCGTCTGATAGTTATTATAAATATCAATTTTGAGTGAATTATCTTCAGTAGTTACTACAATATCGCAGTTTTCGTATTTCTGGAAATTACCAACCTACCTTGGATTAAGGGAAACCTACATACCAAATTTCGTTGAGATATCTCAATTTTTGCTCGAGTTATCGTGTACACGGACGGACGGACAGACGGACGGACAGACAGACATGGCTTAATCGATTTCTCTATTCATTCTGAGTATTTATGTATACATTTGTCTATATCTATCTCGATTCGTTTTGGCTGTTACAAACAACCGTTATGTGAACAAAATTAATATACCCTTGTGCACAAGTGCGCTCGGGTATAATTAATCACTAACCAACTCAGTATTGTAGAAGCGATAGGAGACAGCAGCTACTATAGCCCAGCTAAGCAGTGTACAAAGAAGCAGCTCCCAAGAGAACATAAAGGGGCTGTCATATTCATAGTTCTCCATTAGGTCGTCACCACCGAAAATTGAGCTGAAAGTAAAAGCGGGCGCGATTATTTGGTTTTGAAAAAAATAGCGTATCTTTCGCCTTTCAACTTACTTGAAGAACAAAACTGAAGGCACTTCATATCTTATATATTTGTACGACTCATTGCTGTTGGCCATGCTAGCGTTTATCTCTACCATATTTTTTAGCTTGCAGGACTACATATTAACACATTGCGGAAAAGTTATAAAATAATTGGTGGTTAGAACGTATTCTTGTTTCAGTATATTCTTATTTACGTGCTCGACTTCCGTATCGGTGCTATTTTTCAGGCAACTCTCTACTGCTTCACAGCTCCAAGGTATGGTCGGGCGCAATGAGTGAAATAAGTAAAGTAGTGGCACAGCAGCGAACATACCGTAGTAGGAGAGCACAGCCAAATTAACACATAAGCTAATATAGCCCAAGCCAGGAGAATTTGTAATTTGTAGTAGATAGTTATAATAAGTGTCTTTTTCAGTTTGTAGAAATTTGCTTACCTTTAAAAATAGGCGAAATGCGAAACGCTGATATAAAACCGCTGCTGGAAAATTGACCCATAAATGATTGTATTACCATAATTGGCACCACAAAGAGAATCACGCAAATGATGTATGGAATGATGGCACCTGTGTACAGTGTACGAAAATAAACTATAATGTACGTAACGTTTATTACTTCAACAGTTCGGTACAATACAGAAACAAAACGGCTAAGTTCACTTTGGCGATAGTATAATACTCTCGATTAGTCATTACAGACGAAACAACAAACGAAATGAATCGTGCAAAGATATATGTTTGTACATACATACATACACAAACTAAACACAAAACGAATGGCCGAAGGAATAGAAAAGAAACATCATTTGAATATAATATGAAAATTGACAGAAAGAAAACATACTTTTTTACTTCCCCAGCCGGCAAAACCATCGTAAACGAGCTCGTAACTGGATATTTTTTCGAAGAAAAGCCGTATAAAATGAAAAATTGTTCTTGTGCTGATAAATTACTACAAGACTCTTTCTATTGAATTTTTTGTTTTATCGTTTACGAGACTTTCTTTATGTTTTTGCCGATCGAGAATCTCTCGTGAAATATAGTGTTCGTAAAATGTACGTTTTCTTGCTGGCTGGGTAATTGAAACGTTTGCATCCGTCTACAACGTACTTGATGGTAAAATTTTCACAAACGAAAAATAAAAGACAGTTAATCATACAATTCGTTTCTGACTATGTACAAAACTGTATAAAATTACAAATGATATGATGATCAATGAGCAAATGGGAATTATTCTGTACGGTTTATTTTCTTACCCTGCCTGTGTAGGAAGGGTAAAAAAAAATTAAGTAAATAGAGTTCATAGAAAGTTTAATGTACATTAGAGTGATCCAAAAATGTATGTAAAAAAAATAAGGTCGCATTTTTAATGCCGCCTCCCCCTAGGATTGTTAATAAAAAAAATTTAGGGAGTGCTCAAAGCGCTCAAAGTTTTCAATGGATTTTATATGGGGGAAAACCAACTTTTCGTAGAAATAGTGTAGAATTCTTGCAAATAAATATTTTTCGATCGGAAAACTTTGCTTATCTTCAGGAGATTCCCAGTAATAATCTATATATTAATACGCTAACATAAATTTTGTCTCCGTTCGTTTGGCGATTCTACCGAACCGATTTCAAAACCAAGAACACCGTTGGAAAGGCATTTTTTCGTAGATGAGCAGAGTTTTTATGGTTTCACAATTGGTTGAAAATTACGGCCAAAACCGTCGTTTAAACATTTTCGAATTGTGTATACATGTTGCTGCAACATGTTCAATTTGACATGTTTCGCCTGTTGTTTCACTACACATTTGAAATTAAGCTTTGAAATAAAGATAAATATGAAGATGAAGAAATAAATAATAACAATGAAGTCAAAAAAAAGAAGGCAAAAGTGAAGATAAAGACGAAAATTAAGACAATGACAGATACATAAGAATTAGGGTAACTAAAAGGGTAAAAACATTTCTTGAATTTATGAAGTGAAACTTCTTTAGCGGCAGTTGGTTGGTTGGGAGTAAATTGTCAAATTCAAGGGGAATAATGCACATGGAAATAGTTCTCAGCGGTTTAGCGGTTTGAGAATAAAAACAAAAACAAAGATGCCTAGAGGTACAGGCAAAAACGAAGATCAAAGTAAATTTAAACACTTTAAGGTAAAGGTGAAGAGGAATATGCAAAAATAAAGGTAAATATGAAGAAAAGGATGAGGATGAAGATCGATATTGTTATCGATACAAAACTCGATATTTTTATCGATATAATAATCGATATTGCTATCGATAAAATAATCGATATTGTTATCGATACTGTTATTGATTAAATAACCGCTATTTCAATCGATATAATAATCAATATAATAATCGATATTGTTATCGATACAATAATGGATATTGTTATCGGCATAATAATCGATTAAATAATTGATTTTGTTATCGATTTAGTCATTTATATTGTTAACGATATGTACAATAATCGATACTGAAGATTGTTGTAACGGGTGATTTTTTTGAGGTTAGGATTTTCATGCATTAGTATTTGACAGATCACGTGGGATTTCAGACATGGTGTCAAAGAGAAAGATGCTCAGTATGCTTTGACATTTCATCATGAATAGACTTACTAACGAGCAACGCTTGCAAATCATTGAATTTTATTACCAAAATCAGTTGGCAGAAAATCCGCTTTTTTATCGACAAATTTTGTTCAGCGAT